ATTATAATGCCCCACGGCTGAAAGGGCGAGCATGTTTGGTGTGACGGGGATTCGAACCCGCGACCCTCAGATTGCGAGTCGAGCGCCCTAACCACCTGGCCATGCCGGGCCAAGTTAATATGAATGGGAAAAATGACAAGACAAATTCAGACTACCCAAGTGAAAATTAATAATCACAGTTTTTCTTCATTTTCTGATTCTTAATTACCTTAGTAAAATGCATTGTTTGTTGTTCAGCACAAAGCTCCACACGTGATATTTGTTATCTGCCCACCACAAGTATCGAAACCTGTTTTTTTGTGTGTTATAAGCCCTATGGCTTACCGCTAAACTACAATGGGCTAGTAAAGTGTAATAACGCAGCACAAAATGACAAAAGGAAACAAAACAGAGAACGTTTTGTCTAAAGTAAAACTTAAGCTGTAAAATGATGATTTAAAAGGATATACGTGTATAGGTAAATAGACAGGTATATAGAATTGCGACAGATGGATGGAAGGGTGAACAGTTAAAAAAGTTGAATAATAAGCATAAATAAGTTGGTGAAGACAAGTAATGAGATTAGAGGTGAAAGAATATATAATACGTACGAAGAATAGAGAAAATTGGAAAAGATCTTAGAGTGATATTTAGTACAGATAAGAAGAAGAATAAAATGGGGAACAAACGATAATGATGGAAAAGCAGAAAAAATAAATGATACAAATGAACAAAAGAAAAATAGATATATAATTAGGAAATATAATTTGGAAATATAAATGGTAAGGAGGAAGAAGTGGAAGAGATAAATGGTAATAATTTACAATTTGGAGAGGCAGACTACAAAGATGAAAGAAGGAATGAAATTCATTATAAGGATAAAAAAGTGAGAGAGATTTATGTTAATGATAAAGTAACTGGAACGACAGATGATGAGGGTGAAAGAACATAACTTCAAATGTTTTTAGATATAGTTGATAAAGATAGACAGGTGAAATATATGGATGATACGAACAGAATGGAAGAACAGGAAGAAATGAATAGGGAGGTTTGTTTGTTGTAAAGCCCAAAGATACACATTGAGCAAACTATACTCTGCCCACCGCGGGTATCGAAATACGAATTTTAGCGTTATAAGCTGACTAACTTGTTGCTGAGCCACTGGGGAGCAGATAATAAGGATGGGAAGCTGAATAAGTAGCTAGTAGCTAATAAGAATAAGGCCCCCGGTGAGTCAGTGGCAAGTTTACAGACTTACAATGCTAGAATGCGGGGTTCGATTTCCCGTGATGGACAGAGCGTATAGTCCATTGTGTAACTTTTGTAGAAGAACAACAACTACGGTAAGGATAAATGGAAATATTGAAAGTATTTTTCAATAGTTTGGAAATGAAAAGGAGCAGGATTTTGAATATGTATATTTTGAAACCTTAGACTTGTTATGAAAAATATTTGACACCGTTTCTTTATTTTCCATTTATAAAATATGAAATACTTCCAGGATAAACTTGGTTAAAAATAATGTTGTCAAACTTTGTTTTCGATAAATGTGAAACTAACGAATTTAAACCAGGAAACAATTTTCTATAAACAAGTTGCCTCCCACTTGTTACGCTATGATATCAAACTCAGTGATTCAAAATTAAGGAAGCTATTTGCTCATTTCATGTTATAGTATGATCATGCTTCAACTGAGCGACAATTTGTCTAAAATCACTAGAGCATCCCTCGATGACAATGGAGCATGACGTGTATTCAAACACATATATCTCGTCCTTTTGTAACAATGATGTTTTGTAAAATACAGAAAGTTGAGGGTATACGTTGAACAAAATTAAAGTTTTAACTTCCATAATAGCTTCGAGTGTTCTCTAAATTTAGTGTATTTTTTGCGTGGTTTTCACCTAAAACTTTTTAAAAAATTAGTTATTTATCAGATTCTCAATCACACATTAAAGCCATTTTGTAACAGAAGCTGGAATTGAAGTCAAAAGAAAATTGCTGTAGACTCTAACTTAATTCTGGCCACTGCAAACGCTGGGAAAATGTGAAAAATGTTTGTTATGTCAATGTCACTAAAATATCATAACACAAAATATTTACTGTAAAGCGGTAAAAGCAACTACGAAATACAATAGTACTCAACATTTTACACCATTCTCCTCCAGGTGGCTCAACAGTAAGTTTAAGAGTTGATAAGGATAAAATTTTGGATTCTATTTCCGAGGTTGGTTGATTCAGTAGCCTTATGATTAATAATAAAACAAACACAAGAATTTAGTAGCAAGTGATAAAGACATTTAGATAAACTTTATCGAGTATGATAAACTATTTATCATTGTTACTTCTCGTGGGCGATTTGTTATGTTTTTAAACTGAAATTTTCATTTAGTAGTCCAGGTTACTAACGTTCGTGAACTAAAAACAAGAATGAAGAAATAATGCTATACTAATCTTATCGCTAGCTCTTTATCTTATTGCCTTCTTTTCTTTATGTTTAGCTTAATGACTTATTTGATTCCTCAGTCAAACCATTTTGTTATGAAGATCATTTCACTTATTTTTTCAAAAATAGGTACAAAGAAACTTCATTATAAAAGTATATTAAGCTTTTCCCAGACAAAGACCATTAGGAAAACTAGGATAATCCTACTACTATCTATGTTATTGAGCTAATGACAATAGGAACTGCTATTGTTAAACAATGGCGTATTTTGTCTTGTTCTTTTTGAGTAGTTATTTCTCTATCACAAAAACAAATGTATATACTAGCAAAGACCTGCAAAACATTTGCGGTCAAATTAGTATCTTTATCGCAAAACCACTTCTTTAAATACAGGATTTCTAGAATAATACATCTATAAGGTCACTTGTCTTAGGACTAACATTAATTAAGTCTTTATTAAGTACGGACTACATTAGATAAAGAGATAAATTAACACTGTAACTTGTGTACGTTTTTTACTTTAGATTAGTTAGGACTAAACTTTATCGTACTTAATGCTATCAGTAAGTAAATTTATAATGTTATTCTACGCCTTAACGTTAGACCTTTTTCAAAACCCTTGATAGGCTTTTAATATGTTACTGTACAAAATGTCTACTAAATATATTTACATCCGTTGAAAAGAAGTGCGCTCGCATGCGCATTTAGCTAGTATGGTGCGTGCGTATTTTCAGCAGAGATAAAAACTAAGTATCAGTAAAATACATATATAAATATATTTCCTGAAATAATTTGTTAATAGTAAGATTATTTGTTTGTTTTCCAATATTTGCACAGAGCTATTCAGTGGATATCTGCACTAGCCGTCCCTAATTCTGAACTGATAGACTAGAAGGAAGACAACGAGTCAACAGCACCCATCGCCTACTCTTGGACAACTCTTATTAGACCGAATAGTGTGATTTGGCCTTAACCATTATAGTACGATTTATCTATTTATTTGCGGGAAAGGAACGCGAACAAGGACCAGCATGTTAACCACTGAACGTCAAACGCTCAGTCTCTAATAATAAGAATAAAATATAAGATTTTTGACACTACGTTAAAAACGTTATCGTTCATATAAGCACGTACTGAGCTATTAACAAAAAATATATTTAGAGTAACTGTCTTAAACCTTAGACACGTGTGTTTTAATGCAAACTATCTCGTTACTTAGACTTAATGTGTAGTTAATTATGTAACACAAAAATAAAAAAAATTGAAAATTTGGAAAACAAGACAGTTTTATATCTAATGACTAAAATACAAAAGTCAAGTTACATACACTAAAATGAAATTGCTAAAAATGTTTATCTAAACCCAATTAATTGCATTATAATGTGGTTAATCAATGATGAATATTAATAATGGGTTTGTGAATAGTTATAATAAAATTGATTGAAATAAATAAAAAATATTGAAAATAGGAATGCTATTTCATTTTATATTTGAATTCAATGAAAATGTAAATCACAGCCATTATTTTCATTTCTGTTGATAATTTTAATTATGATTTTTATTGATTTCCATTTAATTAAAATACAAAACTAAATATGTTTCTAATTTCTAATTTATTTATCAGTTAAAGCCTACTATAAAGACACCAGTAAGAAAAAAATATTTTTACTAAAGTACTTTTCAGCATGTTTAGTTAACATACAAAATGAAGTTTTTATAGCTGTGCACATAAACCTGGATGTATATTAGCTTCTTGGGAAAAATACAATAAACGTCACAACTCACCTACTGGAATATTTTCTGATACTCGTTCGAATCGACGGTTTTCAGTTAGAGGATAAAACTGGCAAGCTGATAAAATAGTAAATATGTATGTATCAATACGTTTTGTTATGAAGTGAGAAAAATTATACATGGAATTTCTAATGCTTAATGTACTCTAAACAAGTCATAAAAATAGTAAGAATGATACAAGTTAGTCAACATTATATTATAGAATATAGTTATTGAAATGGACATATACTGCTATATCGTTATATCTTGATAGCATTTAAAATGGTTTTGCTGTCAGCTCTTCCATCAGAGAATTTTTCAGAGTATATAGGCTATTACTATTGTTTCGCTTATACATAGATACGATATACACACAGTTATAAGTACTAAAAGTTAACATAAATAAAAGGGTTTCAATTGAATAAAGGTGTATAAAGACAAACACTTTAACTATCTAATACATATATATATGTAACCATGCATAGTATTTGTTTGAAATTATTTCTAAATATACAAAAATATAATTACTGTTCAATTTTTTTTTCGATTTCTTTGGAGATTATAAAATATACTTGAGTTGAAAATTTACATTATTTTTCTGTAGAATCAAGTTTAGCTCATGACATAAAAGCACTAATAGGATTCAAAAACATTAAATAAGAATCAATAAATTTAATAAAGATGTAAACGATATTGTTCAACACTAACGCTGACTTGTATTGTAAACCGAATGTGTTTTATGACGTTAGTTAAGTACTTCATTGGTACCAACATAGAGCACAAAAATTCAGATTGTAAATACTGAACAATTAGGTATGTGATAACTCTGAAAGTCAAAAGTCTTCAACGTTTTACTTGGATAAAAACAAAATAGTAAATGTACATAAATACTTTATTGTTTTATATCATATAAATATATAAACATGTTATATTGTATCATATATACAAATAGACATGTTATATGTTACGTTAAGGTATTCACACACTATCCTGAACGCTAATGATTTTGCATTCCGTTCGTAATTATCTGATAAAGTGCTTTTAAAGTTATTTAATTTCAAAAAAGATTTTTCTTAATTCACTCAAACATTACTGTGTGTGTGTGTGTGCTTCCTTACGTTTCTCTTATTTGCAATTAGGATATTCTATTATGATTTCTCCTGATTTTAAATCCGAGTTTTTACCTTGAACTAATTGTTCGTTAAGTTGCATTCCCTCTATCACATATAAAGGGGCTATAAACCTTCTTACAAATAGCATATTTTATTTTCAGCGCTTATCGATTAATATATTGAGACAGTAAAACAATTCGAAGAAATTTAATGATTAGAAAGTGAAAATATAAGATATTACACTGCAAACTTCTCATTTTATAGCAGCTGTTCCTCAAATTTTATAATATTTGAAAAATGCAAATTTACAAAGCTGGAACTAATATCACGTGCATTACAAAACTAAATAAAATAATTATAGGATCTATAAGCACCTGGCGCAATTGGTGTCGGATATTCAACGCTTTGTAGACAGTGCTGAACAACTAAACGTGCAGTCAACAACTCTTGTGTAGCTGCTAACTTTACAACTAACGACACAAAAGAGTAGTGAAGAGAAAATGAACATACGTTTCGAGTTGAACCTTTCTTAAGAGCATAGAGTAATTAGTCCTTTAAATATATAATATTTACAGTAGGAAGTATCAATAACATAGTTAAACTCTAGTTTAAATCTTTACTTTACTTATAAAATAACACGATAACTACTACTATGGTCTATAATTTATGGCACTGAATAGGCTCATGTTGAAGCCGACAAGTATAATTCTTCTGCGGTACTCTGATTCCTTTAACGCTTATTAAGATGCCCAATCTGAGAAATTAGCTTCTGACTGCACAATACTGATTGATTGTCTTGTTAATAAAAAATATATTATTTTATTGTTTAAAACAATCATTGTATTGTGACTAATCTTCAAAGTAAACTAAAACACTGGCCATTATAAAAGGTTAAGATAGTTAGCATAAATTAGAACCACCGCATAGAAAAAAGTTGTAGTTGATATATTTCCATGTACAGAACACATATATTATGCAGAGTTACAATGCATATTAATGCCAGCGTCCACCTTGCTAAAGTGGTCAACATATTTGTTGAAGAAGAGGGAATTTACCGAATGAAATGACCTGCACACTCGACAAGTGAATATGGGAGTGCACAGCTTGGTCACAAGTAAATAGACACCGCCTTTTCAGAAAAAATTAAAATTTTCAGTCATATTCACATGAATTGATATATTTATAATTTAATTAATATCTAGTAGATCTTCCTTTCGCTTCGTGGAGTTCGTTGATCCTATGGGGCATCGTGAGAATCATCTCGTCAATTTTAGAATGTGGGATTTTCGCCCACTCTTGCTTCAAAACTTGGAATAGAGCGCTCTTCGAAGTTATGGCCCAGAGGTTTTCGATGTGGTTAATGTCAGGAGATTGGCTCGGCCTGGGCAACTTCTGGACACCATTTTCTTCCTGCCACTTTTGGGTGTTTCTAGCAGTGTGACACGGTGCTCCATCTTCCTGGAACAACGTTGTGTTCTTGTCCACGAAACCCGAGGAATAAAGTGGCAAGAGTCCTTCCTTCAATATTTCGACGTATTCGCAAAATTTATGTTGCCAACGCACTCCACTAAGCTTGATCTCCCACCAACCCAAACAGCTCCCCAAATTATCACGCTGAAACCACCATGCTTCACAGTTGGCTACAATCTGTTGAGCC